ACCATAATAATCGTTGGAATTTATCTTTTTATTGTATAAATTTTATATGACAAATCGATATAGGCTATCGCACAGCCCTAAACGTAGGGTGACCTTGTAATTACAATTCTGTGTTTTTTATATCTGACTAACAGCCCCAAAGGAGAGTTTGCCACCCAGAGCAGAAGGAAACACTGCAGTTAAGGATCTGTGACCAGAATTAAGGTGCCTGAGCAATGCGCTGCTTACGATAGTCTTCATAAAAATATTTAATCCAAATTACACAAATACATTAAACTGTACAAATACCTGCACAAATAATAAAAAAACAGCACTGAATTTAGAAAAATATGGATTAGGAAAAACAAGCAGTGGGAGCATCAGGCCTTCGTTTGGCCATTTCCGCAGCTGAAATGTGCCGGATGGTGTTTGTTGGTACCTAAATCACATTCACGGTACGAAAATACTTACAACAGGTAACAGCAAACCGCCGTTAAGACCAGCATAGTCACAATGACCCTACAGGGGAGAAAACACAAATGTCAAACAAAAATTTTACGTGGGGGAAAAAAGACAGGTAGTGGTGGCAATTTTACTCATTCTACTTCATGAAAATTCGTTAATTAATTAAAACCGCTGGTTTGTTGTTATGGAAACGCAAAGCAACGACTGCAAGATTTCTCCGCAGTATTTATAAACTGTCACTGAGTGGAAGGTCGAATGACCAAACTTCAAAGGATTGTAACTTGTTCCTTCTAAGTTAAGCTGCTGACTGTCACATGCTTCTTATTCAGACTCCATCCAGCAACTGGGAACCAACAGTTCGGAGGTAGAAAGAGGAACATTTCAATGATACATTTCTAGACGCGTCTGAAATGAGACTTTAAAAGTAAGCAGCATAAATCAGCACAGCAGTCCAATGTGTAGATGTGGGCATGACGGAGAGATCATGTCCCTATCGATATTGTGGGAGTACCGTGTGTGTCTGGGGAGCCGGGGGGTTCGGTGCTGATTTTGTCCCTAGTAGTGTCGAAACCAAACCTACTCCCTTGACATTACTGTATGTTCCAAATAAGCGTGCGAATTCAAAATGAAATAAACGCCAAAGAAACGTAAACACAATCCAATTGCACAACAGCCTTATTGCCAAATCAGGACTTCCTTCGTGGTAAAAAATGCGGGCACAAAATAGAAGCAAAGCATTACAGCTCATTACAAATCTGGATATCGCGATCTACTATATACATTACACATAAACGTGTCGCTTTTGATGGTCTTAAAAAGCAACATGATGTCCAACACGCCGAACTTTACCATTAGACAAACGAACGACAAGCAATGAAAATATAAAAAATAAAACGCGAAATTTTAACACCGACAAAATCCTAAATGACTAACAACGCGAAAGAAACGTGCAACACGCTTTAGCACGATGGTGAACTTACTACTTACCCCTTGTTCGGTCCTTTGGGAATAAACCACGGTATAACTCCACCAACTACTGCCCAAAACAGTGTCATTACCGTCATGGGAATCACAAAAGAAAGGTTTTCCATTCTCCGTGAAGTATCCGGTGCCAATAACTACCACCCAGAAAAAAAGTTACTTGTTTTCTACTTTGAAATCTTAACAGCAAGTAGTTTTCTGAACAACGCAATTTAGAACCAAGAAACTAAAGAACTCAGTCAGACACGTCGGCCAGGAAGCGAAAGTCACATGACGCGCCGAACCGAAGGGGCCGCTACGTCACAAAGCAAGTTACAATGTCAATCAGTACACCACTATTACGTAATTAATAATTAACTTAAGAGCACAAGAGTAATTTCCCACTGTTATTCGACATGCATGTTACTGATAAGTATTACAGTTCACTACTAGCGTAGAAAAAACTCACAAATAGGCTCCTTTGCTGGCATAAAATACGGTGCAATACTTTTCACCAGCAGCAGGGGCGTCGCCCCAGTTTCAGCACCAAGTAGTTTAAATTGTGTTCATTCAATTTCATTAAAAATCTCCAGGGGCGCCCCTGGTATAATTAAGAGAACATGTTCCTGGTAGCTGACCACCAACTTCCCCTCTTATAAAAACAGATTTGACACAGAATTGCATGGGAGCATGTATGGGCAGAGGGGCAGTTGTGACCGAAAGGTTTATTTTCACTGACAAATTGTTTTAGTTTAGCATTATGTTACAATTATAAAATTTTACCCTCAATCCCAATATGAATTTTCCAATTGCTTAAAAGCAATCTTTCAAAAAGTGTCTAATTTCCAGATGGTAGAAATCACTTGCTGTTTAATCAGTTATATACACTGCAGTCATTGAGTCTGTCCTCTGCTCCTCCATCAGTCTGGTATGGAGCAGCCACTAAGCAGGATAGGAACAGACTGCAGCGGGCTGTACGGACAGCAGAAAAGATCATCGGTGCCCCCCTGCACTCCATCCAGGACTTGTACTGCTCAAGGACTAGGAAACGTGCAGTTAAAATCATTTCAGATCCGTCACACCCAGGACATAATCTCTTCCAGCTCCTCCCCTCTGGCAGGCGCTATAGAGCTCGGTACACAAAAACCAGTAGACATAGGAGCAGCTTCTTCCCTCAGGCCATCACCCTCATCAACAGCTAAGCTGTCACCTGCCCCCTGTCTACACTCTACGTCGTACCTTAATAATGTACAATGTTACCCACGTGGGCTTGTATATAATATTTATGTTTCATACTTGTCATTTTTTGTACAGTGTAATTTATTGTTTGTTTGTATAGTGTCATTTATTGTTGTATAGTGTCATTTATTGTTGTATAGCTTGTATAGTGTCTCTATGTACGAGAGAGTCTCAAGCTGCCGGAACAAATTCCTTGTGTGCCCCAGCACACTTGGCGAATAAAGGCTGATTCTGATTCTGATTATATGTTGCCATTTGAAAGTTTCAGTTTTTAGACATCCCACTCATCCAGCAGATCATCAATGCAGCAGCTGTTTGCGGAATCAATCGTGTTTGTGAGACATGCACACAGCACACCAGAGTGGTTTTTTGCCTTTTATTGTCATTAGCCAAAGTGTGAGTTTCACTCCTGCATTTTTTCAATAGTCTCCTCCTTGTATTTGCCCTTTTCCTTGCCCTCCTGTCGTGATTTCGCTTTGCGCTCCAGGATCTTCTTGCGATCCTTGTCGAGCTTTAGCCGGGTGATCACGACCTGCGAGAAAGACACGGGAGACTGAGGAACATTCCCCACACTTACAGAAACAGGATTAAAATAAAACAATTGTTAGCCCTTTACGCTTATATGCATGGCTGACGTGGACTACCTAAAGGCACCAACATAACAGGATTACATTACCCTAAAGTAATGTAAAGACTGCAAAGGGGTGAGGTCTTGTGTTCCTTTCAGGTGCTGGTCTCTGGGATCCCACCTCGTTTTCCTTATTGGCTACTGGTGTTCCTGTCTTTTGGTGTCACTGGCTGAGGTCTGAGGCCCTGCAGCCAATGAGTGCCCTCCAGGTACTACATAAGCCGGTTGAAGCTGCACTTCAGGGCCTTTGGCCATTTTGGGGTGTTAGCAGACCACCGGTTCTGTGTGAGTGTTCTCTGTTAGCCTATGAGTTATGGGATGTTCATGTGTTTGCTGTAGCTGTGGGTCACTCAAACACTGATTCACCCTTTCTTTGGTCTTATCTTTGCCAGAGAAACCTTGCAGGGAAAAGAGGCCATTTTACTTACGGCTTTTTTTCTCCTGTTTTTCTTTGAGTTGCAGGTTTGTACATTTTGATTTGTGTGTTAGGTAACCAATGGAACCAATTTTTGTTCCAATGTAGGGTTTTGTTTGTTGCGTTAGCCTCTGCTCTACCTGAAGGTATTTATGCTTTCTGTGAAACCTGACCCAGACAGTCTCATGGTCCTCCATCCAGTGTAAATTTTGCTCCCCCTTACTCTAAGCCAGCTTGGGGACATAACGGTGTGAATCAACACTGCATTTCAGCCCATAGAAGACCTACCACACATTTCATTCACAAACTACTCAAACTATCCCAGGTTAAAAATCAAGTTTGGGAACAAAAAGCCGGAAATGCCACCATTCCTTCCCATGCGGCTTGAAGGCAGCTCAGGATCAGAATGACACTTCAGATGTCACAGCTATCCTATATGAAAGAGACTAAGACAGAGCATTCAGACACAGGGATGCATTTACCTTGCTGGGGTGGATGCCGACGTGCACAGTGGTGCCATTAGCCTTCTCACGCTGCACACGCTCGATGTAGATGACGTACTTCTTCCTGTAGACTTGGACAACCTTGCCAATTTGCTGGCCTTTGTAGTGTCCTCGTACAACCTGCAAAAATATAAATGTGTCCAAATATAAGATATAGCAATTTCTGGTAACTGAACTGAACCCAGAAACTGCAATTTTCCAAAATCAGACCATTTGAATATACAGTACTTCAGTTAAACTGTTCTGTGCAGGTAGAGGCAGGAGGGCACCAGGAATTGGACCGTGACCTAGGAGGACACAAGGTCCTACATAATATGGCTGTAATTTCCACAGACCATATGACCTAAAATGATTCACCATCAAGTTTCCAACTCCCCAAAATAGCAATTATAAAGGGAGTGGAAAAAAGAAACAAACAAGAAAGCAAAGTGTCTATCTAATGTGACCCTGCTTTTAAACCATGAAAACTTATTTTCAGTTACGGCAACAAAAAAAAAAATTGTTTCCCTTTACTCAGATCTGAGCCTCCCTGCAGAGTAACTGGATTAACAAAAACATCACTGTTCAACTGTGAAAAAACATATACAAATTTATGGTTTCTCAGTAATGATACCTTCATTGCGGTTAAATTACATTCAGCTCTATCAAAAGCTCAACATTCTTCCATTGTCTCCACCAGACTGGTTCAGTCACTGTCCTGAAACAGCCTCTTCATGCCTGGAAGGAAAGCGAAGGTGAGCAGTGGCGAGACGTCCGGCTTTCCTACCTGGACCTCGTCATCCTTACGGATGGGCATGGAACGCACATTATACTTCTGTCGCAGTTCCTTGGAAAGAGGGGAGGACATGATCTTTCTGCGGATGTGAGAGGGGGCATTGAAGTGCCTCTTGCGGTTCTTGCGACGTGACGACGACACAAATGGATTGAGCTTCATGATGGCTGTAAATAGAACATAGACACCAGTAGATAAACAGTTCAGCTCAGGCACCCTGCATGCTTCTGTTTGCGTGTTAGCACATTACTGACCATCACTATATTCAAATGTATGGGTACCGATATGCAGCAACACCTTCAATAACAGCAGTCCACCAAAATCCAAATTTGCAAAATTACCACAAGCGTTTCACAAGTCGTCACTTGTAAGGACAGATATCAACTAACCACGTAATTAAGTTTAAATCTCGTAGTCACTTGCTTGCAATTAGGGGTGGCACTGTCCAATGCAGGTCATCTCACAATTACAACGAAAACCGTAATCTAAACCAAAAAACTTTAGACAACTGGAAAAAATAACTTGAGACTAAATCATATGTGCGATTTTATATTATAATTTAAAAACATGGACTGCACGCTCCTGAAATGCCCGTCACCTTTTATTTGAAAATGATCGCTACCGCTCACTAACGCAACACTAAAACACAGGCGTTTTAAAACATACGCTTCTTGGTATTGTAATAAACAGTACAACAATAATTGCTTATATGGAGTACATTGTTATCCTCGACATGGACAAACAAGTTAAGTTAAAATCTAAAGTCCTCGTTTAGAGCAAGTATGCTACTGCCGTACAGGCCAAGAGGTTTGCCGGGGTGATTCGCTGCTTAATCTCGGACGTGGAACACAAATATCAACTCGTACATCATTGAAAAATACATCTGAGTGGAATTTTAGGGGCTGTTCAGTAACATTATGTGCTCAGGACACGGATGATTGTGGATATTTTTGTACTTATTAAGCACCAAGGATCCTTACCCTCTCGATCACTCCACTATGGCCGCCGGAAAAGAGAGATTCGATTTACTTCCGCTCACATTAGTGCCGCCGTGATCTCGCGAGAAATCCTGACGCGCTCCGGGATTTCAGTGACGCTGCGAGAGGGAAGCCCGTGCGGCGCCGACAGGCCTGTAGTCTGTATTGCACGTTATACTTTTAGTTCCGAATTATCTATTGTATGTGTATCTGTGTCTGGTAATTTTTGGTTTACTCTTTGTGCTGATACACTCAAGATTTAGCAAGCATTTGTATCCATAGCGACATACAATTGAGAAAGCAGGGCCAGCCACTGGAACACTTAGGGTTAAGGGCCCAACCGTGAAATCAGTCTGCCGACCGCGGGGATAGAACTTGTAACCTTGCAATCACAGATGCAGAGTCCTAACCCAGGGAACCACACACTGCCCCGTGACATTACATATGAAGTTTTAGTTTAAGAAAAAAATTCAATGCTTTACGTGAAATGTGTGTGGAAAATACAATTTTCTTTGGTCACTGTTTATTGTGTTGTTTTAACAGTACAAACAATGAACTTATATGCAGTTATTACTTTTTCGTAAACCTTTTAATCAAGTAGGTTTTTCAAAACAAACAGACTAATGCTCCATTTAATTATAAATATTTAAAGTACAGTCTTGTACTAAAAACATGATAGAATTCCGTGAGATTAAAATCTCAGTAAGCAGGTCTTCATTGAATTCCTTTGTGATAATAACTCAAGTAGTTAACATAATATTTAGAAAGTAGAATGACAGCGACATTCCTGGCTGTTTCACTTTTAGTGGCAAAGCCCAGGGTGCATGAAGTGGTACCGATACCAAAGTCCAGGAATGAAGGAAGTTTTGCATGGGTAGGGCCGCCGCGGTCTCGCAGAAGCCGTCACCGACTGATCCAAGCTTGTGTTTCTCGGTGGTCCAGTCCAAAGTCTGGTACTGATCATTTGAAACTGTCCCCAGTGTATGTGTGTGAGATTCTGCTACTCTGAACTATAGCATGCTGTCTGGTATGTAGCCAATCTGAGGGTTGAGATATCTGACAAATAGTCCAAATAATCATTGCCTTGTCTGAAAGTTAATGAAAGATCACGAGGATTACTGTTTACAATACAATATATTGCTAGTGAGTGAATGAATTGATTTAAGTCCCTCCAATGATGGGAGATAAAGGTAAATTTGATGGAGAAAGAATCGCTTTAAATTAAGAGAGTCGAGGGAAACTAGTCGTGTTTCAGTCATCTGCCTTAAAGTGATTATTTGATCTCAGAAAAAAGCATGTAAATAAACACGGGATAAAGAAGGTTCACCAGAAAAGGGAGTCTTACACAGGGGGGACAGAGCTACTCCTGACCAGACAAAATAAATCAGTATAAAAAATAATGAAATTTAACCTCCAGTGGCTCCGTTCATTAGGCTTGCATACTGAGTGGAGTGAGTGGTGTGGTCTCATAACTCCATTTGGAACAATCAGAACCCGTAAGGTTCAAAATATATTTCCATTTACTGAGAATAAAGAGCTGACTTGTACTGAATAGCTTTTGAGGAACGTCTGCGCGATTCAAGTACAAAATATGGTGTGGCAGCTTGTATAGAAATCACTTGGTGCTTGATGAGTCTTTCTTCTGAAGTTTAAAAGTAGGGAACATAAAAACAAGCCATATCAAAGATTTCCATGGTTCCTGGGCAGGTGCGCTTTTAGAGTACTGAGTCAACAGTGTATCAAACGCGAATGGCGGGGTGAAAAGAGCGGCAGAGATATAAACCTGACACGGATTAAGGAAATAAAACAACATACAGTTTTCTCTCAAAGGGCGTTTCCTGGATCATGTTTGCCTCGTTGAAGCGTGATTGTTTGTACTTTGACATGGTTTAAAATTTCATTGAAAGACTGACAAAAGGGAAACTTAACAGTGATACAAAGAACATAGTCTATGACAACGGCGAGTAGGGAAATTAATAAAAAGCGCTAATTTGTAGGCCAACTAATTTCATTTAAATAAAATATAATGAAATGTCCAATTGAATTTTATCTACTAGTTTTGTATCGATGTGGTATTTGGCTCCTCAGAAATATGTCAGTTTTAAAAATGTCAAAAATATCAGTGTTAAAATTACGTTAATCACGTAACGTGTTTTTATTCAGTCACTGAAGGAAAACTTCAACAGACGTCCATCACAGCGAGCTCTTGATTACTTAAAACTGGGACACACTATATATATGTAGCCGAGGATAGAAGTTTCAATGCAGTTTACTGGCGGGACGGCAGAGATGCGCAGAGTTCCGAAGTCTGCTTGTCACAGCCCACGTGCTCGGTGGGATTAGCCAGGCGTAATTGTAATTCCCCATCTATTTATCGGAGTTGTGTTTAGGATTTTTTTCACTCCAGCAACGCAGAGTGTGCAGTTCTTATTCTCAGTTAATTCAGTCTTAAATGTAAACCTGCGATTAACGTTCACATAGAGGAGAAAAGCCTTGTGAGCATAATTAGCAGCTGTAATTTTTGTTATTTCTTCGCAGAGGTCAACAAAACAGGATTATATCATATATTTTTATCATGGTTAGTGTTTGCATACACAGGGTAAGTTCATTTATGCATTTATATGTTCATATGTTTTCACATTGTTTTAGTTAGCTTTGTCATGTTTGTGACTTTCTGTTATTACATTTCCCAGACACGTCATTCTACCCTGCAGTAATTAAATTAATATAATAAAATTATGCAAATAAAGTAGTGTGGATTTCTTAAAGAACTGGGTGTCATTCTCACCTATTCTAGGTGTTTTTTGCATTACTGATTTATACCATGGCTGTCCTCGAGGCTCAGACAGAGTCCAGAGGTGGGCGAAAGGACGCGAAGCGCGCGCGGCGGAGACACGGCCGGATAAAAGACAAAATTGCGTCTTCCCTGTTACAAAATATCACCAGCCAAAAGAGTTCGCCCGATCCCATCATGGCAGGTGTGGATGGTGGCTTGAGGTCGCCGATTTGGGAAGAGGACTTCGAGAAGAGCATTGAAGAGATGGTTGCACAAGTGAGAAATAACTCGGCACTGTCTAAGAACAAGTGCGTGGTGGACCGACAGCTGTGGATGTCCAACACTCGAAGCCTTTCACCCTGGTCTTACAGGTTCTGCTGCTTTTATTTTTGCTGACATCGCGCGTGCAAAATTAGATTTACGCTGATTGAGAAACATTCTCAATTAAATTGCTATTTAGGCTAGCATTTATACACAATTAATCTACAAGCCGTTGGTCAATCCTTGTGTACAGACTACTTGTTTTTTCAGTTGACTTTATGATGATGATATTATTATTTTTATTATTATTAATATTTTTATTACTACTACTACTACCCAATAAAACTTGACACTTACCGAACTGCCAGTTCGTTTCATGTGAAGTTTTGACTCATTATTTTGTAATGAACTATTTGGTGGTATTAACATACTGTCTTTGCATTTCACGTACGAAATAGAATCAACCACGACGAGAACCGCATTCCAGTGGATATACCAGAAGCCAAATGCTCTTGCGCCGGCTGCATCAACCCTTTCACAATGCAAGAGGACCGCACCATGACCAGCGTCCTGATCTATACAAAGATCCCGGTGCGCCGGCGACTGTGTGACCGGCTCTCCGTGAAGCACCGGAAGAAAAAGAAATGCCTTTCGCAGTACAAGACTGTTGTGGAAAGCATCGCTGTAGGTTGCACTTGTATAGTGTGACAGGAAGTGAAATGGAGCTAAACTTAATGAGTAACTGAGAGAGCCCATTGTATCGATATAGGCAAGTTTCAAAACTCCAAAACTTTTTGTAAAACTTAAATAGCCGACATGATGCATTACTACCGTTTGATATATCGTGTTATATCTTTCAAAACCGAGACAAGAACATTGCAATACTATAATTTCAAAAAGAACTTAGAAGAAATTCAAAATGAATTCAGTGTTTATTCAAGTTTTTAGTCTTTTTAATACAACCGCCTCCACCGTTTATGACATATAATTCCTATGACTCTTTTTCAAATTGTAACTTTTCATTCATTGTATTAAAGTTTATTATGGTATGCTTGTCTGCATTTTTCTCACAGTTAATTGCTCATTTTATGATTGACTATACGAGTTTAAGGACAATATTTAACTATTAAAGGTATCCGGTAAATATTTTAATTACCATATATGAATTATATGACTGCTTGTTTTATTACTTCAGCTTCCATATAATAAAAACTGATGAATCCATTTCGAAACTTCGAAAAGTGACCAGCATGGTGAGGAAGTGAATTTTCCTCATGACGAATCTATTGAAAGGTGAAGTACTCAGGTCTTATACTTAATAGGCCTGATTAGGAAGTAAACATCTAATCGTTTTTTGGGACATATCTCTGAGCAATCTGTAAAAATCAATTTTTGTACGATGAAAACACTAAATTATTAATAAATTCCGCGTTCATTCCAAATATCAAGGTAGACGCTTTTTACTCTAAAACATTGTTTTCGGTGCAAAATAAATCATTGTACAGCAATGCAAAGTATATTGTTGAAATTTTTTAATTTACCTACAATTAAGATAATTTTCAAGTTACCGCAAGACAATCAAAGGAAGGCAACTGCAGGTTGTCAACAGGATCGTCTATAAACAAGCTACCGCACGTCACAATTCTGGGGGGTGTTCCATAAAGCAGGACTGCTTAGTTAGCTGGCTTAAGCTAGAAGTTATGATTGTCCAATAGGAATGCTCCTTACCTACACTCTTATTGGACAATCTTGACTTCTTGCTTAAGTAAACCCAGCTAACTGAGAAATATGAATTGCTTTGTGGAACCCCCACCCCCGCTGTGGATATCTGTCCACTAAACGAAAACTGGGGATATCTAAAATGTGCCTTCAGTTATCTCGTTTCAGGACTCCCCCCGCCCACCTTCCCCGTTTGGCAAAATTCGCGGGGGTCCCGGGCTTTGGTAGGACTCAGAAACAATGTATTAATGTTAATTATGTATGTTGCAGTGTGCTGTCCTGGCCTGCTCCATTTGAATGATATTAAAGCGGATATATACTGTATATACACTTACATCCATCTCACAGTGACCTCTCCAGTTCCGCGAAATGGGGGTCGACCTGAAACAGGTCCCAGGTAGCACAAGTTAAAAGGCAAGGGGAACACCATGGGTGCCGTCATTCATGGCAGGGCACGCACACACACACACACACGCACACACATACACACACACCCACAAAGAGACACACACACACCCACAAAGACACACACACACGCATACAAAGAGACACACACAAAGATACACACACACCCACAAAGACACACACACACACACATACAAAGACACACACACACCCACAGACACACGCACACACACACACAAAGACACATGCACACACACACACACACACACAAAGACACACGCACACACACCCACAAAGACACACACACACATACAAAGACACACACACACCCACAAAGACACACGCACACACACACACAAAGACACATGCACACACACACACACAAAGACACACGCACACACACCCACAAAGACACACGCGCACACACCCACAAAGACACACGCACACACACACACACACACATTGTGTTGTCAAAAATGTTGCAAGAGCCATGAGCTGTGTGCTGAATTTGTGAAGCTCCAGGCAAACTGAGAATGTGCTACAGTCCGCCTTGTCAGCGGGGGGGCTTGTAGTCGGATGTTCCGGGCAGGGAGGAGGACCCTATTCTGAGTAATACAATGGCCGTGATCACTCTCTTGTTCGTGGGGTGCTGCTCCAGGCATATGTGCGGAAAGACAGCAGTGCGTTGAGGTAAACAAGCCCAAGTGAATATGCTAAGCACATCCCACACAGTAAGTCACAGCACAGATAACACACACACACACACACACACACACAGACAGGCACACACACACACACACAGACAGGCATACACACACACACACACACACACAGGTTTGTAATCCCAACATGACGACCTTACCTCTTCCCAGCCCTAAGCTTATCCATAAGTAACCAAACAAAACATGAGACTTTTGGAATTTTTAGTTTTTTTTATTACATTCACAAATCTTTGTGGGGACCTGAAAAATGGTCCTCACAACGTCCAAAAACAGGTTTCCATCACGTTCTGGGGTACATTTGGTCCCCACAATTTAATATAAACATAATCCACACACACACACTGACACACACACAGGTCAGAACATGAGACCGTGGTTACTTTGCAGGGTATGCTGCATAGTCATTCTCGTCTATGTCTCGATGACGAAGTAGACACATTTTGTGTTTGTAAGGGCACCTAGACTTATAATACCAGTCAGTTAACACGTAATGTTCATGCAGACACCTGTAAATACAGACACACACGTAGGGGACCTCACAGTACAGAGACTATCTAAACCTGTAAATTACTTAACAATAGAGCCCTCAGCTAATAAACAAGCAAACAAATACATGTTTGTTTGTTTTTTAAGACCTATCACTTGAGATAGACGAATAATTTTAGCGTCTTTGAAGTCCCTACTAGGCCTACCTAATTTTTGGGGGCTGCTATTTATGTGGGTGGACAAAAACAGATGTGACATTTATCTGGCTATACGTAAGCGCAAAATTTATTTTCTCGTATGTAAAATATTAAATAGATTTCTGGCCTACGTGGGACAAACGCTACATACTGGCTGAGTATCGCATGAGCCGCCGCGCTACTGAGCTTATCGGGCGGTTGACGGCTGGGTTCAGGACTTCCCCGGATCGACCCACGGAATTTACGGGGCGGAAATACTGCGCAGAAATACTTGACCATCATTTCCTCTTGCGGCTGAAGCAGAGCTTGTCGACTCGAGAATATTTGCACTAAATAAGATTTACATAAACATACATAAAATAACACGTGCTAGGCCCTCCCTGTTATTCTTAATAAGGTAACTGGTTATATAAACATCAGCAGCACATTATTTTTCTTATTGGTTCATTAAATTAGTGTGCAACCAAACAACTTGTATTAAGCATAAGGGAGGGATGAGGGACTTTCCACTGCTAAATACGTGTGTGGTTTAATACATGGAATACACGCCTATGCAAATTAGAGGTAATGTATCAACACGGATACGCCAGTGAACAGAAAATACGAAGCGATGTGGCGCCGAGCGAGACAGCATTGGCGCTACCGGCGTGTTCAGCCAGCGCTGCTGCCGCATTCATCAACTGCAAAGGCTCCCGCTTCAAAATCGGTGAGCGATTTATAATCTTGTCGCTGTAGGGGGAAGATCACGCTGATAAATTAAATAGTTATAAGACTGAAGATTAGATGAGTCATATTTGAAATATAATCAGCCATAAAATATGCCGACAAATACATATGCCGGCACGCCTTTACAGTACAGTATAGGCCTATTGAATAATTAGTGTATCGTTATATCGATGATGAAAGTGTACAGAATGTATTTCCGGGCTGAAGTTGAACTCGTCAAATTATCTAGGACCTTGGACTATTTTAAATTTACGTGTCTGTTCTTTGTATTTTGTGGGTATAACTTGTTTATCGGAAATAATTGGAGTACAGTACATTTCTATTACAATTGGTTCTGGAGATATAATGACATTGTTTCAATATACAATTATATATAGCCTAATCACCATACAATGTAGGCTATATGGTATAATTATACTTTAATACAGAGTCATATTAAAACAGCCCACTTTAATGAGCACGGTATTTACATTATTTTTTGACAAGTGATAACCTGATTTTCTCTAACTGCGTAAACGTGTATGGTGGCGTAATATGGAATACCATAGCTCTGTGTCATTTGTCTTTACATCAGTGTTTATTGTACTCTAAACTTTTCTGCCAGTGTCACCTATTTGTACTATATATATTTAAATATGTATATTTATATCTGCAAAACTGTTTCTGCTGCTTCTGCCATGACCATTTCTGTCCCGTGACCCATTGACGGCTTCCGCTTAAATTAGCGTATGCATGAAAATCCCACTGACTCGAACTTCAATCATTAACTAAAACAGGAGATGTTGGCTGTGTGGACAGACCTCTTTTTGCCTTCCAGCCCCCAAAACAGCTGCTCTTTGATGTATCAAAAGGAGCAGATGTTCCGCATAGTTTGGGACATAACAATATCTTTAATATCATACCCCCCTCCCCCCTCACCAGGAGCAGCAGGCAGCCAAATGAAAGGTATTTTCATTCACTGTACTCTCTTAGGGAATAAAGTATAATGTAGCCTGTATTTTGCCTCAGCCTGCATCTGTGTATGTATGTGTGTTCATGACATGATACTAGATCACAAGGCTGATGTGTTTAGTTAAATTTGAGGAGAAATTTGGCATGTACTGATAATATAATTGAAGAAATGAGATGCAAATATGTAAACAAAAAAGTCAACTTTATATATTATGGCTGTAGCTTGTTTTCCGTCATTTTCAATTTGCTGTTTTCATCGGTACAGTGCTGCTTGGGTACAGCTGTCTCTGACACATAGAAATTCTCCCAGAATAACACAGAGTTTATTTTTTAAATGTCTGCAGGAAAAGAGCAAACTCCAGATACGTCTTCTGAAAACAGCGATAGGGTGGCAGTGTGAGCCGTTGGCCTTGAGAACTGGATTCCAAGGCTTGTGGATGTGGCTCAACCTGTGGGATTCAGTTCTTAAGCCCAGATGCTCTGAAAATGCAGCAGGTGCTGAGGCTCCGAGCAGCAGCACAGTCCGTAAAGGTCCATCCATGTTGGGATAGTGGTGTGTGCAGTAAGACATTAATCCCTGAACTGGGCCTTTTGTAAGAAAATATATGAGTATTTATTGGTTAAGATAAACAAGATGTTTAGATTTTGGGTTTTAAGTATTTCATAGTGTGTTACCGTGATTATCTAAAACATAGGTTTTAAACAGTCATACTGCATTTTTCTTTAGTTCCATCACAAATGAAACTATACAGGCAGAATCCCAGCAGAAGAAAGTTCAGGAAATGTGCAGTGATAGCCACTTGCTATTTCGTCAGAAATGCCTTTCGGTCTTTTAATATTTAT